CCTCCGCCTCCTGGAGTCCCGGGGGCCAGGGCCGCAGGAGAGGCCGGGGTGCCTGCCCCCATCCTGGTGGCCCTGAGCGGCCCCTGGTGCCTCCTGGAGCCTGGCCACCGCTGTCCTGTGGGCACAGGGACGCTGCAGCTCCAACGCAGGCGTCCCGGGCGCAGGGGGGCCTGGGCGCAGCCTCGCTGCCCATCAGTTCTTGTTGGGGGTCAAGGGGGCGGCCAGCCACAGTTCTTTTTTATTTTTCATTGACTTCAGAGCGGAAGGGAGAGAATCGGCGATCGCTGCCTCCGGCACGCCCCTCCGGGGACGGAGCCCGAAACGGGGAATTGAACTGTGACCTGGTTATAGGTCATCAACTCAACCACGGAGCCGCATGGGTTGGGCCAGCCACAGGCCCTCAGCCTGGCTCTGCGCAAGGTCCAGGCCCGGGCTGGTCATGGCCATGTCGGGGGTTTGGCCACGTGTGAACCCATTGCCCACCCATTGGCCTGCCTCGGCCGTGGCGACGCAGGTGAGCAGGGCTGTGCCATTGACTTGGAGATTCCCGGCGGGAGGTGAGATTCTAGGTGATGAGGGAGCGTTTGTTGGGGAGGATGAGGTTTCCAGGTGGAGACCACTGTGGTCTGCGAGACAGGGCCCGGGTGGGGAGCGGGAGCCAGGCCCCACACTCACCTGAGCCAAGAAAGGGCTGGCCAGGGTGCGTGAGCAAGAGTGGTGGGCGCGGGCCTGCATGGCCTTGCCCGTGCCCGAGGGTGCCGGGTGAGCCAAGCCTGGCAGAGCTGCGCACACGGGGAGGCCAGGGTGCACACCAGCTGGGACCAGACGCCCACCGTCGTCAGGAAAAGGGTGGCGAGTCCTGGGGCCGAGTTTCCCACGGCCGCTGCCAGAAGTGCCGCAGTCAGGGGCTTGCACAACCACTCCCCTCTCCTCCGTTCCGGAGGCCAGAGGCCAAAGTCAAGTGTAAGCCAGGCCACACTCCCTCCTTCGGCCTCTTCCTCCGGCCAGGCTGGCAGCCCCGCTCCCTGGGCCTGTGGCCGCATCGCTCCAGTCGCTGCCTCTGTCTTTACGTGGCGTCTCCTCAGTGTATCCTCTGCTTCCTCCAGGGACCGTGTCCCTGGGCTTAGGGCCCATCTGGCTGATCCAGGACGAGGTCCGGAGGTCCACGCCACATGCAAACCCGGGCAGGTGTGGGCAGGACCAGCAGCGTCCAGCGCTCACCTGGCTCCGGAGCAGATGGGACCCTGAGCCCCGAGTGAAGCTCCCCCCGCTTTTTTTCAGGCTGACCCTTGGCCCCGGCCCGGCCCTGCTGGCTCCCACCCACCCTGGTGTGTCCTGCGTGTGGCGTGGCAGGGCGGTCCCAGACACTTTGAGCTCCGGCCCTTGGGGTGAGGGAGGGTGGAGTGTGAGACCCCAGCGATGCTCCGGCCCCATCTGACTTCCGGCTCTGCGTCAAGGCCCGGGAGCTGCCCTCAGGCGGGCGGGTGGTGTGAATGTCCAGCGGGTGAGTGCTGCCTCGGAGCTGGGGGGGCACGTGGAGAAACAGGCCCGAGAGGAAGGGTCTGGGGGGAAAGGCCCCCCCCAAGTCTCGGCCCCTCAGGGACCCCTGTTCCTCTGCTCTGGGGCGTGGCCACTCAGTCCCAGTGTCCGAAGAGCCAGCAGCGTGGCGGCCCTGAGGGGCGGGCCGGCTCCCACACAGGCTGCGGTGGCTCGGGCAGTGGGAGCTTTGGGAGGGTGGGGCCTGGCCTGGCTGAGGACCGGTGTCTGGTCCTGTGGTGTCAAAGGGCAGAGCGGTGACCACCCCCGTGTGGCCTGGGAGGGCAGAGCTGGGCACTGGTGCCCGGGGTGGTGGGAGGAGCGTGCTGGC